CTGGCTGCAGATAAACACAAAATTATGTGGGACACGTTGTTGGGCTGGCTTTTTCCTGCTGTGAACTCCTTAATGTCTTTCCTTTGAGCTCTTATTCCCTTTTTCCCCTGCCCCAGCCCTTGCTCCTCACCTTCTCCAGCAGCAAATTGACCCAATTTTTGTTGTTTGCATTGCAAGCTGCAAACCAGGACTCCCGTGGCTGACAGGAAGCCAGCAAAAGATTAAAAAAATACTTGAGTTCACATTTAGAGCATGTTTGAAAGTTGTTTTTGTTACCATAAAGAGTCAAAACATTTGGTGTGGTTTTGTCAGTAACATCATGGATCTGCATGGAATGATGCATCCACCTGCACTGAGCTTTTTATTGCTCATTTCGTGCAACAATTTCTTGGCTTTTTCTGAAATGAATGCTGTGAAATTGTTGAGAAACTTGAAAAAAACTGTCAATATTATTTTTCTTTATAATTTTACATTAAAAGTGGCAGCTTTCTCGAGGGAGATACTACAGGTTCAGACCCATTTCCTGTGGGTAATTGAGTATATATTAGAAGTAAGCTGCTAAGCTCAGGCATAGCACATGTGTAGCTCATAAAAATTGACAGTTTTGTTAGTTCAAAGTTAAGCTGCTCAAGGTTAATAAGTCCATCTCCAGGGGTGGAAAATATTTCCATAACTCTGATTATGTTCCTTTACTGCAGAAAGGCAAAAGTAACAACTGCCAAGGCCTTTGTAACTAGACCTTTATCCATTAAAAGCTCTATATAATCACTTTGCAAAATTTTCTGGACTAATTCAATAGGAAGTGTTTGTTTTCTTCAAAACTAAAGCTGCTTCGTCTAGGTATAAGACTATTAAAAAAAAGAATTAGAAAATAATGCTTACAGTTGTAGCTTTTGGGATTAAACAGAGGCAGATCTGGACATATGGCCACGCATTCATTGAAAGAGGATTTAAATTTCGATCATAAATTATTATCTTACACACAACAGTTTTCACAGTGTATTTTTACTAGAAAGCAGTATGGAGAGAAGCAGCAACTCCTTCCCTTGTTTCTTTGCAAGAGTAGTTCATACAGTCCTGCTCCATTGTTGACTGATGCATGTTTTAAGGAGAGAGAGAGAGAGGAGTTTTGTAAGCAAAGCTCATACTTTTTCAGAAGAATTGACTTGTAGCTCTCAACTTTTGATCAAAAGAATATTAATTTGAAGGTGTAGGATTATATCAAGAAGCTTGTTTCAGTTTCATTAATGACAACTTTCTTGCAACAGTTGTGTTTATTTGCCTTTTTCTTTTAATAGGCTTCTATGTTGTTCAGGTAGCAATCTCCAAGCACATAGCTGCTGTGCTGCTTCTTCCACAGTAAAAATCTGACTGTCATCTTTTTTTCCCACTGCTTCTTTCAACTGCTCTTTGTGTGGCCAAAACATAATATGACGAGTTATGAAGAGATCAGAAGTAGCAAAGGTCTGTCCTTCAATTTCAAATTCTGTGGTCACAAATTGGTAGACCAAATCAGGAAAATAACTGGTGCAGTATATAGAGATTTCTTACCTGTTCTTCAATTTCATAAAGTTTGTCAAAGTAGAATCATTATACGCTATGTACTAAGTATTTAACTGAAGTTGGTCTATGCACAGTTACTGAATAGGGGAGCTTAGCAATTGCAACAGCAGAAAGCTCTTCTGGCAATTCTCACCCTGCCACAGAGAAAGATTTAGAAGCAACTGCTGCTGAATAATGTATGTCTCAATTAAGGAAATGAAAACATGCTAAAAAATAAAAAAAAACTATTTGGTGAATAAAATGTGGATCAAATTAAGTATGGTGAATAAATATAAATTTAGTAGTTTTTTTTCTTTTTATTCAAACAAAAAGTCAGCCTTTAGCTTCTTTATGATACCCACTATTGTGTTTTGTGTTTAGAACATTTGCTTGAATATGGTGAGAATGGTGTTGGTTTTATCCTGATTTTTTTCAATGTATTTTTTCTACATGCATCTCTTCTGAGTCTTTTGCAAATAAACCTCAAGGGAGTTCAAGTGTTCATCTTCAGACACTTAAAGGAACGCCATGAGCAGATGTTGTAGCAGGGTATTGAATACACCTTTGTTCACAACACAGACATCTCCACTCCATTGACATCTGTGTGGTTTTGGTGTTGTGGCAACTCCTGTCCTGCTGGGCGGACTTAACTGGAGCCTAGAAGACTGTCTCTACCCCAAGGTGGTATGTTGTTAAGGCTTTAGACAGTTTTCTGGATAGACAGGACAAATGGACTTGAATCCACTCAGTTCTGAACCCAGTGAAGCTGATAGTAGTCACATACAGGAAGACAGGGGACTCAAGGCAGGATTCAGTCAGTATCTGTCTGCATTTGCAAAGTAGAAGGTAACTTTATATGTTTAGGTCATTGTAGCATTAGTCCTTTTTCTCTAATAGCAGAATTCCAAGTCCCACAGTTCTACACATTGGAAAAAGGAAGAAAGAGTAGGCCCAAACCATAATCAGAACTGCTGGGACAAAAGAGATACAGGAACTCTTCTGAGAGATAGCACAAATCCTTGTTGCTGGAAGTCAGGCCAACACCAAAATGCTAGTTTGACCTGCATTTAAAACCAACAGTAACAACCATAATTAAGAAAGAAACCAAAGAGACAAAGATGGGATATCTAAGAGCTAAAGCGCTAAAGTTGGCTCTAGAGTTGGCAACTGTGTGACTTAAAGAATATCTGATTCCATTCCAAAAGTGTACAAATCCCTCCTTGCCCAAAATGTGGCATTTATCTTGAGAATTTCTAAGGGAAATAGAGTTTGGTGTTAACAAAATAGTTCTCATGTATTAGCAGTTTGGCCTTTTGGATTCAACAGTATTCAAAGTACTGATACATAGGTTATGCATTCTATATACTATATTTCTTGCAATAAAATTTTAACATGCAAATGTAGACAATAAGACTTCTGCTTCAATTCCAGCAAAATGCATTTTAGAAGATCACAAAACTTTAAACATGTGTGCATGTTTGTGCAGAACAGCTGGTTTCCCAGGAAGAGGATCCAAAACCTTTCTGCACGTGTATTCATGCGCTCCAACTCTTTGTTAGTCATTCACTGCTACGCTGCATGAAGTGCTGCATGGACACCACTTCTGTAATGCAATGCACTCCATACTCAAAGGGAATATTTGAAATAGATATAGGGGTGATCCTCTAACTTGGCACTAAAACAAAAGCTATGGTCTCTACATACTTCTCCTGGCCCAGGACCCTGCATATAGATGGGAGACTGAAAATGGAAGATGGGCAAGACTTTGTGGGGTGCAGAAAAAGGAGGAAATAAAATAAAAGAGTGGACCATGACTGGCCTTAAGCAAGGAGAAAGTAGAGAGAGCTGCATAGACAGCAGACGTTGTAAGGTATCTAAATATTCTGAAATAAGAGCTGTCTGTTTTGTGTGTACTGAAAAAGGCAGGGACTGCCTGTTGTAACACAGTATGTTCCAAAACGGCCGACCTTCACCTCCAGGTATAACCTGTTAGGATGGAGGTGAAGGAATCACTACACATTTCTAGCTACAGTACAAAGAGTGTCCCCTCCCAGCAAGAGGAAGTACCACTACTCATCCCAAAGGAGTAGATAATTTGCATAGCAAAATTCAAATTACTTAGGTCTGGCTGAGAAGTCATGGGTTAACTCTAGGATGAAAAGAATGGCAAGGTCAGAGGGAGGAAAAGGTAGAGTAGAGGCAAGAACAAAAGAGCATGTGGAATTCTGTCCAAATATATGCAAGGCCATGTGGAACCCAACTCTGGTATTTTCTGAATCACAGATGGTTGACAACTTAGATTACTATTTTTTTTTTTTTTTAGTGATCTGTAAACATAAACAGGTCATGTCCATTCACTTTCAATTTTACCATCTTATGTTTAATCAATAAAACATGTTAGAAAGATGAACATAAGAAAACAACAAAAAAAATCATTTAAATGCACTCTGGAACCTGCAAGCTTTGCTTGGTACTCAGTCCATTAATTTTTTGTTTTGTTTTGTTTTGGGTTTCTTTTTTTGTAAATTAGGTTAGCAGTTGCTTGCATATTCTTATTGTGGATAAACAGAAAGCTTGACAAACCAGCACTGCCTTAATGAAGAAATTTTCCTTACCCTCAGATGATGAAGTCCAGTATTATTTCAAATAAATTGTCCTTGTTATCTTAATAATGATCTTTAATACTGCAATGACACCTCAACTGCTGCTGCAACATTCACTTTCAGTGCTGTTTGATCAAGTTTTCATGAACTGGTAAATTACATTTAATGGCAGAGTAGTGGGTATTAACCTGAGCTTCTTTTTTTTTTTCTTTTTTGTTGATTACCTAGAAGCTAACCAGGTCTCTAGTTTTACAGGTGAGAAGCTAAGTAGACTATGACAGTTCTTTACCATTCATCCCCCGTTAGAGTACTCTTCAGATGTGTGTTTTGTGGCCCTACTTCTGTATCCTGATATCCTGTTAACCCCTTCACCTATGCTCCAACACAGCATATGTGAAGTCTGGGATTCTGTTTACTCTGTCACTCTAATACTTTTCTCACACTGGAGCTTGACAAATAAATGTGATTCTTCCTGACACTGGTTGCAAGTCTGTAGCAGAACACATAGTCCTGACAGAAGAAGGCAGTGTTGTACACAGATGAACTTCTAGTTACTGAGCAACCAGCCTTGTCCCTTTTCCTCATTTTTTAAACTGACATTAGATTCTTCTTTTTTTTACGTATGTTTTCAACACTCTTCTTTTTTCAGTATTACCACTGTCCTAGGCTTTCTTTAAAGCACTTGAAAGCAGCGGGGTGCATTCTACCAGCCAAGAAGGGAGTGGCTTGAGGCACTTACCAGCTAACATGACAAGCATGGCTGTGCAGCACTGTCCTGGTCTACCATTCTAAAATACACATTGCAAGAGCACCAGGAGACTCCTGCTTTATATTTCTGGGGTAGGTGGGGTGGCATCCTCTCCTGTCAGCCAACCGCTTGGTTTGCCACCTCCTTGGTATGGAATTTTAGTCCTCACCAGCACAATATATTAGAAAAATTGTGTTTATTGTTCCTGCCTCTGCACAAGAAAGAGAGGCACAGGGACGTGGAGGCTGTTGCATGTCCCCCACTATTGGGAGTGTACTGGATAAAACACAGATTGGTGAATTCAGAAGGCCCAGGGCAAAAAAAAATTAATTTCAGGAGCCACAGATAAGGATATGTGCACAACCTTTGGGACATCCTGCTGGACTTGAGAAAGGACTTTCCTGCCTTTTTTGCAGGGCTGCAAGCCTCATTGCCAAATCCAGAGGAACCTGCATAAGAAATCAGCCAAGCTTAAATACTTATTGCTATACTGAGAAACAAAGTTCTTTTGTATAAAATAATAAGCTATTAAGTGTCCTCCCCTCTTGTGAGCATGTAGTGCTTTGTAAGGTGCATGCAATAAATATATCATAAGTTACAATAACTCAGGTGATCAGAGGCTATTCAAACAATAATAAATTCAGCTGAAAAATTAAAGAAAATACATGACTGATGATTGAAGGTGCAGTTCCAGGAAAAATTAAACTAACTTCTGATTTGACAGAGCATTATCATCACCACTATGTTACAACTTTAACTCATTTTGTTAAAAGAAGTAGTGAACTTTTCTAAAGTCTCTTTGAAGGACTTGATCAAGTAAGTTCCCAGTTCGTTGTTTGTCTCCTGAACAGCTGCATCATAACTCCCAAAGAGTGGTGTTGAAGCCTTCACATCCTCCCTATTTGCTTGCAGTAAAATGAGGTTAAGATCCTCTGCTATACTTTCGTATTTTTGGTGATCAAATCTGCAAACACTGGCATCATCAATGGGGTAGGTGATGCCAATAGGGTAGCAGTCCCTTGGAACTGGGAACTCCACATTTTTCAGCATTGGCAATTCACAGAGAAATGTGAAAAGATGTTTAAGTGCTTGGGATGACAGTGGGTTTCCCACAAACTTGAACTCATGTAATTTCTGGCAAGGGCTTAAACCTAAAATCAACATGTTGACATGAGTATCTTGGATGTTACAGTCCTCCAGGGTAAGACTTCTGAGCACTGAAGAGGAATGGCTGAGCAGCTTAAAGAATGTTGATGGGTAAAGTTCAGGTATATCATGACCACTCAGGTCCAGGGCTTCTAAGTGATTAGCATGGAAGCTATTGGCTAAATAGGCCATATCAGCATGGTTCAGTGAGCAGTTAGAAACATCCAGCATCTTCAGTGGAGTTTTTAATGGGCTGCAGAATTAAAGGAAAAACAGTTTTATTGCATAAAACATTGAAAAGCTACATTTACAAAATTACATGCAACTATACATATTATGAGTGTAGCCACCTACCACATTCATTATTTTTTCTTACCTCTCTTGAGAAACAGAAGCATGTGCCAAAAATAACAAGTATATTTTCCTTCTGGAATCAGTTCCATGAATTAGCTTCTTCTTTATGTGACTCTGTTGTGCTATTTTAATGGGGATTAAACTTTCTATGTATCTATTTTGTAACCAGTTTTATGTTGTCAAGCGTCTATGACTTGCTGAATTAATAGCAGATCACTGCTACCTTAAAAGGATTGGTGGCTGCTTCTTGTAGAAAACTGTCATAATTCCAGAGATTTAGATAATTTCCATGAAGGAAGGATTAATTCCAAGATGAAAGCCAGTCAGTATTGTAACAAAACATCTGCTTTTGTTTCGGGGGGGGGGGGGGGGGGGGGGGGGGGGGGTAGGGTTTGCTGTTTTTAAATACCTGAAAGGTTTACACTTTGTAGCATTCTGCAGTTGCAAAGAGATATTCTGATAAAGAAAGTTGGAAGAAGTATAAGTGAGATTATTCTCAGATATTTTAGTTGAATATAAAATAGTTCTGATAAATGAAAATCAAGAGATCCCTTTCATACATACTAAATCTTAGTGAGACTTCTGTTACAGAGCTCAGCTGGATCAAAGTTAGAAACTTGCAATTTATTTCTATTGATATAAGCAGTATGCCACTCAAATTTTAAATAAAATTACTCCTTGTATGGGAGAAATTTTAGGCTAAGGTGATTTGTCTGGATGAAACTTTTGTCTGCCTTTTTTTTTAGACGCTCTGAAAAGCATGCAGTTAACTGTATTTTCTGTTCCAGTACGAACACTGCTCACTGGCAGTTTGTTATCTTTTTGAGAATTGTCAGTTTTTCACAGGAATTCATAATGAATATTTATGTATCAGCTTAATTTGCAGTACAGAAAAGCATCAGATCTCTCTTGCCTTGACATCAAGAGACACGACAAACAACTGAAATCAAAGTCTCAAATCGAAGTCTGCTATTCCCCTGCCCACCTAAAAATACAATATCTGTGGAATCCTAGTATATTTACTGCATCTTTTTTAGAGGACAAAAATTCACTAGAGACTCTAAAAAATATTTGGTATATGACTCAGGTCTTGCACCAAAGCCAATGCAAGCTGATTAATACATAAGCTAATATAAAAATTGTCTGAGTACCACTCTTTTATGTGGTAGCCAAAAGCATATTCTCACCAGATAGGTTCTGGAAGACTAATAAAAACAGTCTGTTCTTCGAAGTGCATTAGGTATATATTGGCTGCCAATTCTCCCCAACAAATAACCTTTCCTGCTTCCTGCTGCCCCTTCCCACGCACCCTCCAAGATACACTCACTTCCCTTATTCTCAGAGATTCTCAGCTTGCTGGTGGCACAAAGTGCTGTTCTTTACAGTCTGACTGAAAGCAGGATGACCAAATTACCTGAGCAGTTTCTGTATTCTTCCTGTGAGTATAGAAAATGACATACACAGCTCAGTGAGGTGTGTCATTTCACCCAACTTTTCTCCAATATTAGTAAGCATCTGTTCATCTGTAGCTGTGAACCTCTGCACATTAAATGTTCGTGCTGGCAAGGTCAAGGACATCAATAGAGGGAAGTGGATACTGTTGAAGAGTATTTCCAAGTGTTCCATTTCCAAGCGAACATTGTGAACTATTTCCAGTTTGCGCAACAAAGAGGGATCCGTGAGTTTTATGATGTAGAAGAATTTCTGCAGGGTCAGGTTGTCAGATCTGAATGCTACACAGCAGATCTTCAGTGGACAACAGCATTTCTTCAACAGGGCCTCCAGGACCAGCTCATAGTTCCTCTCTGTAACAAACAAGTCAATTAGCACATCAATACTGGTTTCAAATGTACCTGGATTGCACTGTGCTTGTTGCAGGTAAACCACCAATTCTAAACAAAGCTTGGAGAGCAGCTGCGTCCTGGCCCACCTGCCCATTGTCTTCTTGCACTCACAAAACTGAACTTCAACATCTTTTATACCTGTCAGGTCAACCACTTTCAACCTTTTCCTGTAGGGAGAAAAATTATTCAGCACATAGTCTCTCAGCCCTGTTAGACAGCTTTCCAAGCACACTGAGCATGTTCTATGGCTCAAGTCTTCCTGGTAGTCCACAGTAGCTCCCAAAAGTTTTCCCATGTTAAAGTCAACAAGTGGCCAGTTCTCTACCAAGTCATGAATCACTTGCCCTTGCTCCAGTAAGTAGCTGGCTTTAAAAAGAAGAGGAAAAAGATTATGGGCAACAACGCTGAGACTCTTCCTGGCAAACTCTTCATTTGACACGAATGCTTCGGCACTAAGGAATCGGAGAGACTTCATTGTTGCTCTGGACTCCTTACTGTCGTGGAGAATGACTTCTATATTTAACTAAAGATTCTAGTTGCTTATCACCTTCTATTTTTGTCTGCAGCTGTTGTTTGCTGCTAGCAGAAGCCTTGCTGGAAAGGCAGAGTGGACAGTCACATGCTGTTCCTCTCCTTTCTATTTTGGAGCTGTATCGTGACACTGCAGTACCTAATTGTGAGATCATTAGTCAGAGAGCTCTTAAACCCCCATGTTTATAACAAAGCTAACTCAATTAAATAGAGACCACTATCCAGCAGGAACAGTAAAATCAAGGCAGCACACATACATGAGAGAAAAGCACTCAGACTTCCACTTAAAAATATAACATGATCTGTATTCCACTTTTTTACACAGAAGATGCTATGCTGGGGATTCACATGTTGATTTCAATGGGGAAGATTTCCCAGAGTTAGAACAGAGCTTCTCCATAAGGAAGGATTGAGGCACTACAGCCACTGAGCTACAACGATGTCCCTCCATTTTGCCCTTTGCCAGGAGAAAAATCTCTGTCACCCAGCTATCGCAAAAGCAGAGAGCATGTTTCTTTCTTTCAACTTGGCACTTCCTTCCAGGGGAAGCAACGAGGGATACCTCCCTTACAGTATCTTCTCATGTCTTTTGCTGGGCAAACAGAGGGATGGAGACCTTTTTTCAAGCTGTGCCGACTCTGATTTTCCAGATAATTCCACACCTGTTTTGCTGTGAAAAATTCATGCCCCACTTCAAAGATTCGGTTTTTTTTTCTTTTTAAGTAAACTCATTATGGAATATTTTATCAAAAGGAAAAGAAAAAACATAAATATGCTTTAAATTACCAGGGAAGGGACATCTTTATTAGACTGTGTCATGCTGAAGAAGCTTTTTATTTTTGCAGACTTTTGGTTTGTATCATTTTGATTTTGCCTTCAAATAGATGAGTTGCAAAAAACAAGTAAGATGAAATAGATAGAACTTGTCAAGGTATTAAGTATTTTCCTCTGTTTTTCGACTCCATTTCACATATATCAAATGATGATGATATGATGTAGGTATTACAATATTTTGTACAATTTTTTAAATCCCAAAAATGGCAACAATATAACTGATCCCTATATGACAAGAAAAATGTACAAATTGCTTGAAACTTTTGTAAGAATAGTTTTATGGCCTTTAAAAATGTAATGGGCTAGTCACTAAGGCATATACACAACTTTTTATATGTTTATCTAGTACATTTGGACCTCATTATCTGCTTGCCTACTATATTTGTACTGGTGGTCCAAAAGATCCAAGACAAACTACTCCACTATTGTTGTATTTTATTTGAATACAGGAATAGGAATTTTGCCTGGTTGTATAGAGGTAGGGTCAAAAAGGCCCAGGCATGACTGGAACTGAAGTTGGCAAGGGAGGGAATAAGAAGGGCTTCTAAATTTATGTCAGCCAGAAAAGGGAGGTCAAAGAAAGTATACTCCTCTGACAACCCAACTGGCAAACTGGTAATAACAAACTAGGAGAAGGCTGAGGTACTTAAAAATTGGTTTGCCTCGGTCTTCACTGACAATCTCTCTTTCCACACCTCTCAAGGCAGGGAGTAGGGGAGCAAAGTCCCTCCCACTCTTAGAGAAGATTGGGTACGTGACCACCTGAGGAACCTGAACGTACGTAACTCTCTGGCACCTGACAAGACGCATCCCAGAGTTCTGAGGGAATTGGCTGATGTAGTTGCCAAGCCTCTATTCATGAAATTTGAAAATTCATGCCAGTCAGGTGAAGTCCCAGGTGACTGGAAATGGGAAATTATTGCACCCATTTTTAAAAAGAGTAGTAAGGAGGACCCTGCTAACTACTCACATGTCAGACTTACCTCTGTGCCTGGGAAGGAGAACAGGGAGGTGATTTGAGACAGCCAGCACAGCTTCACCAAGGGCAAATCATGATTGACCAACCTAGTGGCCTTGTAGGATGGAGCGACTCCATCAGTGGACAAGGGAAGGGCTACGGCTGTCATCTCTCAGGACTTCTGTAAGGCCTTTGACATGGTCCCCCACAAAATCCATCCCTCTAAATTGGAGAAAGATAGTTTTGATGGGTGAGCTATTTGATGGATAAGGAATTGGCTGGATAGCTGTGTCCAGAAAACATTGGTCAACAGCTCAGTGTCTGAATGGAGATCAGTAACTATTGGTGTCCCCCAGGGGCAAGTACTATTTAAAGTCTTCCTCAATGACATGGTGGCAAACCAGTGCACCCTCAGCAAATATGCAGATGACACCAAGCTGAGTGGTGCAGTTGACACGTGCAAGGGATGGGATGCCATCCAAAAGATATGCTTAGAAGCAGGCCCATGGGAACCTCATGAGGTTAAACAAGGCCAAGTGTGAGGTGCTGCCCTAGGGCTGGGGCAACTCGCTGTATCAATACAGGCTGGGGGATGAGAGGATTTAGAGCAGCCCTGCAGAGAGGGACTTGGGAGTACTAGTGTAGATGAGCCAGTACTGTGCACTCACAGCACAGAAAACCAGCCGTATCCTGGGCTGCATCAAAAGCAGCATGCCCAGCAGGTCGAGGGAGATGATTCTCTCCCTGTAGTCTGCTCTAGTGAGACCCCACCTGGGGTACTACATCTAGCTCTGGGGTCCCCAGCACAGGAAGGACATCAGCCTGTTGGAGTGGGTCCAGAGGAGGGCCATGCAAATGATCAGAGGGCTTGGAGAATCTCTTCTCTGAAAAAAGGCTGACAGAGCTGAGGTTGTTCAGCATGAAGAAGGCTCTGGGGAGACATTGTGGCCTTTCAGTACTTAAAGGAGGCCTAGAAGAAGGATGAGGACAGGCTTTTTAGTAGGACGTGTAGCAATAGGACAAGATGTAACATTTGTGAACTAAAAGAGGGTAAGATTTAGTCTAGATGTAAGGAAGACATTTTTTGCAATGAGGATGGTGAAACACTAGAACAGGTTGCCCAGAGAAGTGGTAGATGATCCATCCCTGGAAACATTCAAGGTCAGGTTGGACAGGGCTCTGAACAACCTGGTCTAGTTGAAGATGTCCCTGTTAATTGCAGGGAGTTTGAACACTAGATGGGACTACATAGGACTTAAAGGTCACTTCCAAATCAAACTATTCTGTGATTCTATGAAACACTACTTAAAATTGTTTCATTTCAAATATTATTTGGTTTGGGGGCAAAAATTTATATTTTGGGTGAGGATATTTTCCAGTTTAAGTTTTTTAAGGCTTTACAAGCACTTCAAGCATGTGATCAATAAATTTTTCTGTCTGTGAAAGAAAACTCCATATATTTCCTTTCTCGGCAAGCTACTATCTTTGCACAAAACCAGGTTGTGTTTGTAGACCACCTTAAGTGTAATATAACCCATAGTGATACTTGCTGGTCAGCATGATCAGAAAGGTGGATACAGGTCATGACTAATTTCCTAGATACTACAGCAGTGGAACAGCATATTATGACGCTATCTATAGGTAACTTAGAGATGACAGAGGTTCCTAGTGAGCATGGGAAGCAGGAGACTTAACAGAGCAGTGGTGGAGGTTCTATTTGCCCCAGACTAATACCCATGTGGCCAACTCAGCCTTCCATACATTCAGAGAGTCTGGCAACCTTCCATAACTCGAACAATCTGATCCAGTTCAAAAAGGCATTAAGTCAGTTCATTTGCACATTTTCTGTTTGATTATCAAATTGGTACAAACAGCACTGTCTAAAATTCAGTACTTGAAATATCTGTCAGTACATATTTAATACACATGAATCACAAAACACAGGTAAAAATGCATTGCTCTGCTTTATGTCAGAGAATGGGTTTAATCTGTGATACTACATCATTTCATATACTTATAAGCAGCTCCCAAAGTGAGCTGCTTCATGAAAGTGACAGTGGTCTGAGAAATACTGAACATTCAAGTGAAATAAGAAAACAATTTGGAAGAAGGAGGTACACACAAGCTTTCCACCAGACTACCAGAGGTGATTCAAGCTTAAAAAGCTTTCTAATATTGTTAAAGCATGCAAGACAGATTTAGGAAATTCACCCGTATCCCAATATAATTGGCTATTTTAAAATAAATATGGCAACAAGCAGAGTTTTCCTTTTCATTGTTCTAGTACTTAAGAGAAAAATGTTACTCGTTGTCAGTCAAACTACTGCTGAGAGATCTAATACATGAGAGATTTTGTTCTGATGGAAAAGGAAAACCTTTTTAAAACCAACCTTACTATTAGTGGGAATGACGTAAGCACATTAATGCATTAAAAAAACTCACAAGAGTGGGAGGGGGTTGGCACAGGAATTAATATAACATTTTCTTTGCTCATGGAGTGGTTAGAAAAAGCCTTTCTAAGCATACCTTTCATCTTAACCTCAGTACTGATGTACTTGTGTCACACACAGATTGTAAGTAATGCTTCAGAACAGAAATTTTCTTAATGAGAAAATTTTCACAAAAGACAGCAGCTTTGACAAAGTAGAAGCAGAGATGTAGCAACATGTCAGCCATAAAGTAGAAGCATTTGAAAGTAACACATTAACATCATTATGTAGAAAAGTTGAAGCCAAGCTCAGCACTGACACGACTCCACACTTGCCAGATCGCTGTGAGCTAACACAGACAATACTGTAACACCACCTTGGTTTCCCAGCAGGCTGGCTAGTAAGGTTAATGCAGGTTAATGTTGATGACTGGGTGAAAAAGGATAAAGTAAAGCAATCTCTGGGTATGGGTTGTGTAGAGAAATGCTTAAAGGTGCGTTGGCTTTGTATCCATGATGGCCAGCAACTTAAACTTGGTCTAATCCAAAATGAAGAGCCTAGTCCTTTTTCTGCCATATATATGAAACAGATTTACATATGTTCCTAATAAAAAACAAACACTAGCTGGGAATAGTATTGTCATTCTATCTGCATATTTGACTAATAAAGAGAATCTAGTTAAGCATTGTGCCTTCATATCTGCTCCTATCCCTTTATAAAATA